CTTGCCCCAGCCCCAGCCCCAGCCTCCTGAAACAGAGCAGCAACAATTCCTGAATGCCCACAACAAGGTCCGGGCCCACGTGGGTCTTACCCCTTTCGTCTGGGATGACACCTTGGCCTCCTTCGCTCTCTCGTGGGCGAACAGGCGTATCCCTGACTGCCGTATGGCCCATTCGTTTGGGCCCTACGGCGAGAACATCTTCTGGGGTGGCCGAGACCACTGGACTGCCGAGGATGCCGTCAGGTTATGGGTGAAGGAACACAGGTTTTACGATCGGAGGACAAATACCTGCCTTCCAGAGAGACTCTGCGGCCATTACACACAGATTGTATGGAGGAATTCGACCAAACTAGGATGTGCCAGAGTCAAATGTTCAACCGGTGGAGTTTTTATTATGTGCAACTATGATCCCGCTGGAAATATCATGGATCGAAACCCATTTGCGCCCTAAAGTGAATAGACAACCGACGGTCATAGTAGAGCATTTCCATTCTTCCAGTGAATCATTCTCCTCCTACTCTGGAAGCTTTTCAAGCTCAATTTACAATTTATACTATTATAATTTATATGTTGTTAAATCAACAAACGTGGAGAATTCTCCTTTATTTTTTTTTCTTTTGTTTTAAACTGGGTTTTTTTTGGGTAGCAGTGACGTTTGATTTCATTGAGTTTTTGCATGAAACCAGTGGAGTCCAAATGATTGCGATGTATTTCATATTAATTGTCAATGAGGAGTAGCACTTGTTGTCTGTGTAAAAATGCCTCCATTACTTGCTATTTGCCTATTGTTAACTTGAAAATGGAAATTGGAACAGTGAAATCTCTCAATTGATTTATATCTTCAAAGCATGTGATTGGGCATGGGAACCCATAAGAGACTCGAAAAATCAGACAAGTGCCTAAATTTTCAGAGCTTACATTTTTATTTAAAAAAATATTAGAATATTTAACTTATTAATAAACGTATAACTTTTTATTTAAAAAATATATTTGAATCTTCTTTGTTAATGAAAAAAACTCGCAAACGTCCAAAGGAGATTTTCAATAATTATCTACCTTGTGTACAGGAGTGAAGCCTCCTTTACATAGGCTTTTAAAATTTTTAAAAATTCTTTTATGTTTTATAAAATTTTTAAAATTTTTTATATATTTCTTTAAAAGCTTCTTCAAAATAATTTTTTATTTAATAATTAATATAAATAAAAAATAACAAATTGATTTCACATGCCTCAATTTTAAAGTATATTTTGTTTTCTTTTCTTAATTTATATTGTTATTTATATTGTTATTTGTTTATTTTTTTCATTTCTATTCTATTTATTTATATGTTTTAAATTTTTATAGATTTTTTTTTCAAATTTTTATGAATCGTCAACCATATTATTTCTTTTTTGTTATGTCATATGTGGATTCTATTTTTTATTTGTCATGTTCTTCTTTCTTCTATTATATGTATTTTATTTTATATAATTTTAATCTTTAAAAATTAATAAATTATTATGTAATTCTTAAATATAAGTTGTACTATTGTTTAAAATTTCATCAATGTATCCTTTTTTATTAATCTTGATTATGTTAGAGGAAATTATCTTGAATATATCTTTTTTATATGTTTTACATTTTATATTTAGTCAAAAAAAATTATCTTGAATATATAGCCCTTAAAAAATCGTGATTATATAAAAAGAAATTATCAATCTTAATATTGTATTTAACTATTTATATTTTATATATTATAATTTTATATTTAATATTATACGTTTAAAAAAATAAAATAATAAATTGAAAGTTGACTGCATTAAATTTTTTTCAAGTTTGATTAAAGTATATGTAATTTGAAAACAATTGATAAATTATTTAAAAGAAAAATACAAATGTCTAAATAATTTTTTTCCACATAAGCTACCAAACCTTAATGCTTCAACTCATAAATAAGAGGAATGTAAATTAATATATTAAGACTCAATCCTAAAAAAATGAATATTTTCAATACATAATTAATAATTGATAAATTTGAATCCATGAAACATAATTGAGCTTAACTTTTGAGCTATTGTAAGTCTTTTTTTTTCTTGATTTAGATATTATGTAAAATTATTTTTTATTATTAATCTTTTGATTGCTACTTAAATTTAATATAATAATTTTTAAAATTTTTAATCTTTATTTTTTTATTTTCAACTCTTTAATATAAGTTGGCTAACTCTGCTCTTGTTTGTGTACATTCAAAATTCAAATATGCCTATAGTCTCTTAATTCATTTATAAATGGATATGTATTTGCTATTTTTCCTACAACTGTTTTCTAAAGATAATGCTCAGTATTAGACGATTAGCATTCTCAATCAGTCAAACCCTTTCAATTGCATGTACTAAAAACAAATCACTTTTTAATTATTACAGTTGTATTTCTTACCCCAAAATATTTTGGGTTATGGTCAACGATCAAAACCTATAGTCAAACTGGTGGCTGACGTGGCTATCTTGTCCATCAAAATTCAAAGGGCAGATTTTGTCAAAACTGGTCGCTTGACTTACCTAGTTGTTGTGTTCCATGCAGGATTCCGGAATTTTACTAAAAACAAACATGGGATTAGTTCTGTTTCCGATTTTGCAGGCCACGGTTTTAACGTCGTTTACGGACGTGATGGTTGCTATAAACAGGGGTCCGAACCTCCAACGCTTGCCTGGAAAGGTACCTGATCTCCTTTGCCTCATAGAAAAGATTCAAGGAGAAAAGGAAAAGGGAGAAAAAAGGCTCTTAGATCCTCATTGTATCAGGCCCTGGATTGAACACAAGATTCCTCTCATTCTCGTGCTTTTCTTTCCCTTTCTTTATTTCCCATCTGCCCCATTCTTTTGCATTATTGTGTTTGTTTGGAGATTCTTTCAAGATGGAATGGTCTGCAACATCCGCTACAAAAGCATATCTCGAGACCTTCCAATTGGTAATTAACAGCTGCTTCATTCTCCGTTTTCTTTCCACAGTTTCTGATTTTCTTCTCTTGGCTTTAAAAATTGCACTCGTCTTTTATTTTCTGGGACTTTAGATTGTGTTTGATGGGTAAGTAGGATTTTCTTGATGCTTGTACAAAACAAAAGTTGTTTTCATATCTCTTTCTTGAGACAAGCAATGTCAATGGAATTCTTTTTGGTTCTTTAAGAACAAGGTTCTGCTAGAGGTAGAGAAACATGTAAAAGATGGTAAGTTGCCTTCGCTCTTGCTAATGTCAACTTGTTTGCTGAATATATATGATTTCAGCCAATTCAAGATGGCAATGGCGTGCATATAAAGAAACCCCAAGTCAGATAACTTTCGTTTTACTTAATTGTTAATTGATTTTCTTGGGTTGATTTTCCTAGTCCCGGTCTAAATAGTCTGTTATCTTTTCATAATAGTACCATAAAAACAAGAGCTTTAGGGAGGCATGTAATCAAATCCTTCATGTACGATGACTGCAGTAACTTCTGATGTCCTTTTGCCTTGCTTAGAAGATGGATGTGTAGATCTGCTAGCTTTGTTTCATTGAGATATATAGACAATTGGCCAAAGAACTAGTAGAAGTCAAGATGATGAATAACAGTCTGCAAAATCAGAGAGGAAAAATGCCTTTTTGTCTTTCTAAACCCAATTAATAATCCCACTTAAGTTTATGACAGTTTAATTTCCTTCAAATTGTGTTTAATTACAACCTCATCGTTGTATCTAGAATATATATAGCAACGCAGCTAATTTTCTTCTCTTACTATTTTTTCATGGATTCAGGCGTTTATGGTATTATGTTTTTGACTTCCATGGATAGTGGCTAATTCTACTTTCTTTATTCTTACAGTGTAATAATCTGAACAAGCTAAGTGACTCGTGGAAAACACAAGAGCCTGGAAGCAATGAGTTCATATCAGCCTTAGCAGCTGGCATGAAATCAAAACTGATAGTGGAGGTTAAATCTAGTGTATCACCATCCACAATAGCATTAGCCACCGCGGCAAAACATACTGGGGCCAGGTTCGTCTGCATTCTCCCGGAGACTGCCCTTCTTGAAGCAAAAAGAGAAACTAAAGATTCAGGTCTAATAGACATTGTAGAATTTAAAACCGGAGACCCCACCGAGATTCTGCAAAATTATGAAAAAATTGATTTTTCTTTGGTAGATTGCAAGAATGATGACTACCCAAAGTTGTTAAAGATGATAAACGTTAATCCCAAAAAGGCAGTAGTAGTGGCTAACAACTTGGCGAGTGACAAGGAAGGCTTCGGAGGTCATGTCAAAGGAATGAAGGATAAGGTAACAGTGAGGTCTATGAAGCATCCCATTGGGAAAGGAATGGAAATTACTACTATTGGAAGAACCAATAAAAGTGAAAGGCGAGATCGGGGTGGTGGAGGTCAGTTAGGAGCAGAAAGAAGGGGAATTCCCATGAAGAAGACTGCTAATGCTAATAGCAAATGGATCGTTAGAGTTGATGAGGAGAGTGGTGAGGAACATATATTCAGGCCGCCAAGATCTCTTTAGTTAACCTTTTCTCTACCCAAAAAGTTAACATTGCACTGCACAACTGTGAGCTTGAAATCAAGTTTCTTTTGTTTAGAAGCTGTGAATTCTGACTTCTGATAGCTGGTGGGGGGATTTAGACATATGCTCTGGCAGCCGTGACAATGATCTCACAAGCCAATTATCACTTCTTTAATAGTGATGATATATATAGAAGGCTTAATTAGAAAGCATGCGTTTACGGTATATTTTCTGCTCTCCAATCGCTACAGCATGTCTGCAAATGGTGATATTGCATCCTGTGATGTTCCAGAGGAGAAATGAAGGAGGCCTAGTGAGGAGTAGCCAAAGCTGGGGCCCTGTCCAGTTAACTCTCTGCAGCTTTCTCCAATGCAATGCTAACTTAATTTGCTAATGCCATCAAAATCTCAGCGGGTGCCACAAATTTAAGTTAATAGGTTGTTTGTTGTACATCTTGTGCAAACAGGTTTTATGTAGTGTGTTTTTCATGGTTAGCTCTCAAATATAATAAACATTTGTAATTCCATGGCCAAAAACATGTCCCAGGCATAATTTCAATGGCAAAAAGCAGGTTGTTAAATGAATGTCCATACATATATATATTATTTAAATTGCCATAATTACGTTTTTACTCTTTTTCTTGTTTTTAATATATATATATATATATGAAGTGCAAAGTTCCAACAACTTTTTGATTAATTTTTTTGTTGAGTTGTCAAAACTAAATCTTTCTTTTATCTTGTAAGGCAAAGCAAATTAAATGAAACCTTTGGCTTGAAAAATCTATTAGAGCTAAAACATAAATAAAACCAAAATCAAGTAACCCCAGCATCTATTTTCTATAAGACCTTTCCTTTTCGGTTGTAAACAAAAGAAGCTTGACATCACAACCTAAATTTTCCAAATTTGTTTGAACTATTTTGCTATTAATTGATCAAAATTTTAACCCGACGGTTGGTCAAGAAGTAGCCAATCTTTGGCTTTGGTTTAATTGAAACCTCTTCTAAAATAAGTATTAATCTATTCACTAAAGAACTAGTAATAATCTATTCGGTTAGATTTGTCCATTCATAAATTTGGGTTTTCCTTTGTTTTTTTCTGAATTTTACTTATTTTTCAGTAGGTTTCCTCATTTTATTATTAGCTAGCATGTCAAAAGTTTGCGGAGGTGCTTCTTTTGCAAGGGAAAGTGGCTTTAGATTTACCAAAGCAGTTTACCTTAAAAAGGTCCATTGTAGCGTCTTCCTCTCGAATCCAGTTCATTTCAGCCAAACCTTGTTGCTAAGTGACAGCTATCCTAAACGTATAAAGGCTTTAACAGATGAATTAAAATTGCATGAAACAGTTTTGGGAAGGAGAGAGACAGACACAAAAGAAAATGCTATTTGGTGATGAGTTCGCTGGCGGGAATGATGATTACCCGCCGTCACCAACCGCCATCGCCATCCTCACCAACAACAACCATAATTCATCCTTGAGTCCAAAGAAACTGAAACATCTTAACCACCCTGGATGGCTTCGCCTTCACACTTTCTCTTCTTGTTCTTGACCTTCCTGGCAACTGCTTTGTCAGTTGATGCTCTTGTATCTCAATGGCAACTCCAAGATTCTGGGTTTCTTTTTCCAGGATTCTTGTTGGGTTATACCTTCTTTGTATCTTCCTAGGACCCAAGGTTTTTGCAGCTGCAGATTTTAAGGATATCCTGGTGGAGCCTGACAACGATGATCCAGATAAGGATGCTCAGTTTAAAGTCCTCAACCATGATACGAATGATCCTCCAGCCAATGGTTCCGTTAGTACTGCTGGTGATGGTGATGGTGGAAGATATGAACTTTGTGGTACTGATCTAAGTTTTCTTGGTCCACCTTATGGCAATATATCCGCTTCCAATATGGTTTGTTCGCCTATATGGCATACCTTTGTTCTGAGGGTAAGTTGTTAATTTCAACTCTTATTTTCAGGTTATGTATGCTTGTCTGTATATTGTTGCATATTTGCATGAATGAATTAAACCTGATTAGCTTAGTTGATTGAGAGGTTTTAGAAAATAATTACACGTGTGGAGCTTTATTGCTGTATTTTCATTGATGGAGAAGATAATAATTTGGTCTCTAGAGACCTAAAAAAAGGCAGTCTGATGAATCAACTCCTTTTCTACTGCCCTGTTTCTTTTTTTTTTTTTGAAAAGTGAAATTTTTTTGGTCATTAACCGATAAACTATTGATAGTCTCGAATTGGAGCTGCCAGAGACTCTCATTAGTATGAAAAAAAACCGAAATGATAAGAAAAGCCGGAACAGGAAAACCTGTTTCACTTTAAAGAATGCTTTTTCCATTTTTGGTCGGCATTGTGCCTTCAATGCATGTAATTCTGCAATTGTGACTTTTATGTTCGTTATGCATTGAAGCCAGACTTTGTTGACACAATAAAGATGATGGCGGATATTTAAATGGCATTTAAGGAAATGGGTTAGCTTCATCTTTTTAATTTCAAAATCTCATTGCAATTCAATTTGTTTTCTACATTCTTTTCTGAACTGCGGTTATCTGAAGACTTTTATTAACAAAAACAAAAAGAGTGAAAGATTAAATGAGCATCGAAACATTCTATAATGGTGGAAAATGCAAGTGCTTTGCAGAAAATTGATTGAAATATTTACATTGTTCCATGGCACTTCATTATGAAAGCACAATCACCTTTAGTTCAAGAAGACAAGAGTTCAGAGTTATACATAATATGAAGTAGCCAATCCTACCGTTTATGCAGTATTACCAGAGAGCAGACAACGTCATGACCATCATATTATCAGCAGTCTACACAACTGGATGGGTCGGGATTGGTTTTTCCAGGAACGGAATGATGCTTGGATCCAGTGCCATGGTGGGATGGATTAATAGAAAAGGTCAGGCAAGAATCAAGCAATACTACTTGCGGGGTGCCCATGCATCGCAAGTCATCCCTGACAAGGGTGAATTGCCACTTAACAATATTCCACCGGTCGTGGCCCTTCATGGGGCCATGATTTACTTGGCATTTCAAGCCAAGTTTGAACATCGTCTTGGTCGGCAACCTCTTATTTTGGCTTTTGGAAGCAGACATCCTACTCACTTGCGCCTAACTAAACATGATGATAAAACCGCCGTTTGGTTCGACTTCTCACAAGGTCTGCTTATATTAAGAAATCTTCAACTTCAAACCTTTGCAACTCTTAGCTATCTCATCATTCTTTGAAGAGCAGCACAAGCAAACTATTGCTAACAAAATCATCGACTATGTTTGCAGCGTCTGTTTTAGACATAGACGTCAGCCAGAGAAAGAATCATGGGATATTGGGAATCATGGGATGGGGTTTGATCCTCCCCGCAGGGGCAATGATAGCGAGATACTTAAAGCAGAAAGATCCTCTATGGTATTATCTTCATGCTGGGATTCAATTTCTGGGATTCATCCTAGGACTCGCAGCCGTGCTCCTTGGAATACAACTTTACAGAAGCATGAACGCTGATATTCCAGCACATAGAGGCATAGGAATCTTTGTGCTTGTGCTTAGCATTCTTCAGGTTTGCTCCTATTTGAATAATTCAAACTTTTCAATACTTTTATACAGCTTGAATTGCTAATGTAATATGACAAAGATGATTTCAGATAATGGCATTTTTTCTACGGCCCAATAAAGATTCCAAGTACCGGCGATACTGGAACTGGTACCACCATTGGTTTGGAAGGATGACCCTCTTTTTTGGAGCTTTGAATGTAATATTGGGAATTCAATTGGCAGGAGCTGGGGATGACTGGAAGATTGGCTATGGGTTTCTTCTTGCAATAACTCTAATTGCAGTTATTCTTTTAGAAGCATTCTCGTGTATGAGAAGAAGAGACAAGTCTGGTCTGCCTCCGACCTTCCAAATGAATCCAATTTAGTAGCTCATGTTCCAATATTCTCAATACTTTGATGGAACTGAGGGGTTTTGATTGATCATGTATCTGAACGGAGTGTTCAGCATTGCACCAATTAGCCTTGAAGAAGCCAAGCCATGTGTAACTACATTGTTCAACTGAGTTTAGCTTGTGAACCTGCTATACAAGCCATTTCATGTGTGAGCTTTCTTCGTGTGAGAAGTGATTAAATAGCTTCATATTTGCGTGCCAAGTTGAACCATATTCCAATTTCAATTTTTCCTTGGACAGAACTAGGGACTCAGTTTTCTCTGTCAAGTGTAATTGTAACCTTTGTCGCAAAATGAAGATGCATTTGTCTTTTGTGGTCAGGAAATGAAGTTCCATTAAAGAGATATCTTGAGCGATTTTTGATTTAGAGCGTTCTTGCTGTTGTTCCTGTCATAAAAAAATTAGAGGCCATCTTCCCATAGTTTTACCTGATGTTCATCATTGTATCACTCTGATACAAAGGCAGTACAGTTACCTTGGTACTAGGGGTAGCACCGTGCCACCCATCAAAGCCAACATTAATGAGTCTTGTTCATCGATCTCTCTCCATTACATCAATGAGGAATCCAAAGTGATATAAAAGCTAAATTATTTTATTATTTTCTCATATTGGTGTCACTGGACACCGGAACAACCAGTTGAATTTGAACAATATGACAGTGCCAGAGTGGAAAAAATTAAAAGGACAAAATTAAAGTCATATACAATTGAATGAAATCGATTATCAAATGTCATTGCTATGGAAAATCAAAAAGGTGCAATCAGTCTTTAAAATTCTGTGATCAGGATATTAAAAAAAATCCTTTACTGAAGTATAGATCAAAATTGTCACCTTAACAACGCCTACTTAATCCCCAATAGTTAATTACCATTTGAACCTGCAGATCAAACCAAAATGAACAATGAGTACATAAAAAACACACAAGGTTAATGCGAAAAAAGTTAGGTCCATCTTTGTAGCAATCCAACTGCAAATGCCTCAAAGTTGAAAAAACTGCAATCTACCCAACCTCATTGGGCATGCGTTTCCAGTCTCTAGCCCAACCTCACTTAGAACATCCTCTTGATACAAGAGGTAGCAGCTCTGGATCAAAAGTTATCTTTCTAGATCATACTTAGTAAAGATGTCTGAACACTCTAAAATGATTGCTTTAACTATTACAACCTCAATGAGTTATTTTCTCAGATATGGAGTATTTAACAGTCATAAAGGCAACTACAATAAACCTAAAGTTATGAACATTCAAGCTGAATTATCTGCATCCTTCCCTCCTGCCACCCACAACCCCCACCCCCACACCCCGCCCCTCAGCGCCCCCAAAGAAAAAGGATAAAGATGAAGACAATTTTAACCTATTCAGATCATTTCCTGCAGTTTTTTGAGTAGCAAAAAGATAGATACAATAGAGATTGTGAAGTCATGATACCTGATTTTAAAAGCCCCTCGTTCTTGTTCATACTATCAGCTAAATCAAGTAGAAGTTAAATATAGAGTATCTGCAAAAAAATTTTAGGATTGTTAGTATGATAGTTTGATGGGAAACAGAAAAATCTTCTACATCTGTATACTTTTAAGAGAGAGAGTGTGTTCCACCTAGTTTTCATTTTCTAGATGAGCTTAAAAGGGTCTTGATGACCTAATTTTTATTAGTGAAATAAAAGTATCAAAATAGACAAAACACATTGAGACAGGCCATCTCACTGTGAGCACAATTTCAAATGGAAAACAAAAAGCATTACTGGCCTCGGTTACAGAAAACCAACCTGCATTTAGATCACAAATCCAATGGGCAATGCAGTTTGCTAAAACGACGCTAGAAAGATTCACAATACTTCATGCCCTTTCCATAGGACTGATCAAGCTTTGTTTCTTCTACCCTGTTCATACCAATCCTCTATGCTAAGATCCGCAAGAAATAAAGCTTTAACTATGTAGCAGTAGCTGTACAACTTTCACTCGAATAAAACTATTAGATTTTGGAGCTTCACTACCTCTGACGACTCTGTTGTATATACTTTAAAAGACTGGGAGCCATGTGGTCGACTAAGCAAACTGATTGCATCTCAACGTCTGCTTCGGTTTCTTCTACCTCTTATAAATGCTGAAGGTTTTTCACCATCACTCCTTCTTTCAGCACTGCCTTCAGGATTTTTGTTTGGCTTAGATCATTCCCAGAATTGTCAACCATAGATTGATTCAAGTGACCATTTTCCAGTACACTTTCCAACCCAACTCTAGCTACTTCATTATCATTATTTATTGCCTCAGATGCTGAAATGTTGAATTCTTTCTTAGCTTCTCCCATAGTGTCAATATCCACAGGCAGCATTGGAGCTGAATTGGTTTTGCATCATCACCTTGTATTTTAGGCTCCAATATCCGATCAGCAATTGGCTCAACAATTGGTGATGGTATAGAGAACTCCATTGGATGAGCGGGCCAAACTGTCCAGGAATGAACTCTGGTATGCTGGGGTTCACATTGCATTGCCAGAGAACTGACTGGGGTGAAAATGGTTGCTAGTTACAGGAAAGGTGCTTGTTGGTACAGGTTGGGGTTGAGTATAGGGAGGATACATAAAGGGTAGAGACTGCATTATGTTTGGGGTTGGAGGAGGTGATGGGTATGGATGGTGAGGCGAGGAGCATATTGGATTTGGTAAGACAGTAGGAGGTGCAGGTGAATAGGCATGTTCACTGGCCAAGGTGCAACGGGAAACAGTCCAGGAGCAGGAGGAAGGTGATGTTCATGGGAGTGGTGCAGCACGTGAAATGGGTGTGATGGGTTGAAAGGAGCTGCTGACGCGGACAACTTCTTGTTGGCTAGTCCCTGACCATTACCAGAATTTACAACCAAGGGTTTGTCCATTTCCTCTACCTCTTGCAATGTGGAGTTTGGATTACTGTGGGGTTCAAAACCTCCAGACAAAACCTTCTCACAGAGTTCACTCTTAGGAGAATCAATTGAATTCGGCATGCCATTTATGAATATGCCATCCTGTACAACTTCAGGAGCCTCATTTCCACCAGCGTCAAGTCCTACTCCTTCCACTTTCTCAGACACCACTAAAGAAGAGTTATTTTCTATTCCAGCAGTTGACCTAGTTTCTTCTTTTTTTTCAACTACAGCAATTTCCCCTTTCAAGCTATCTGTTGAATCCAATTTAGAGCTCTCATTCTTCTTTTCAGATATGTTTCCTGTTCCTGTAGTCAACTGATCAAAATTACCTTTTGTTTCATTCATTTCCTCTTGATGTTTTTCAATGTTGAAGTCTGGTTTCTCAGGACAATCAGTTTCAGGCCTGAAATGCAGTTTGGAGATACTGCCTGGAGGGGCCAAGGCTACTTCCTTGTAAGAAGGAGATTTCCCAAGACTGACTATAGAATTTTTTGTTGGACGGAGATCAGTTGGTGTAAAAGTAGAAGCAGGTTCCCCTGAAGAATTAAAGACCTCACCTCCATTTCTAGAGATTTCAGTTGAACTTTTAATAGATGATGGAATGGACTTAACCCTGTATGTAACAGTTTTGATTATTCTCCGTCCAACTTTTGAACCTTGGGAGGGGTTCATAGCGTACTGATCTGTATAAGCTCCATGAGATATTGTGCGTTTCTTCAAAACGTAATACCTACTACTCTGATGAGAGGCCTTGACCAGAGGGGATTCCACATCAGGATCAACATTCTTTTTCTGATAACTAAAAACCTTACCAATAGTTGCTCGCCTCTGCTTTAGTCGTCGTCCAAGTGAGGCAGATGTTCTTGGCCTTTGAACTGGTTGCCACCCATCATCGCCTTCAGCATGTGATTCAGACAGAATGTGAGTATCAGTGTTCAGTCTTGCCTCTGTTGTCTCTTCCGCAACAGGACCCTGGGACTGCACTGGCCAAGAGCTTGTCTCCTGGTTAGCATCTGGTTTATCTTCCTGTTCAGATAAATGTGTCTCTTCGTCTGAAGCCTCTTTTGCAGCCTCTTTAGGAGATCCCTCAGAACTTGCTGGATGATTAGCAGGCTGGAGTTTTCCCTTCACCTGCAGAGGAGAATTGAGATTGCAGATGAGGTGCATTAGAGGCAAGAAAAAATGAAGAATAGATTGCATGCAACGGGATGGTGCATGCTAAAAGTCACGTTGCGTTTTTCCTGGACTGCAGACTTGCAGTTATCCAGGTTTGTCTGGTGAGTCCTCCCACGATTATGCCTTTACCAGGATGCTTAGATACTTTCTTCTATAATTGTAAAATTGTTAAACAAAAGTAGAAAAAAAATTTTCCCCTTCCATGGAGAAGAATATGGCACCATGTCTTTTATCATAGAAGGGACAATTATTTTTCCCAATTGGAGAAAGATGACATCCATTTCTGGAGACAACATTTCCACCAGATTCTATAAATGCCCATGCCAGGTCCACAACCCCATATCTAAAGGTTCTAGTTCTCACTGTTCCCCACTTTTCATGGACTGTGGATTCTGACCCATGATAAGCCACCTTCTCAATGTTACATGGACAGCAAAGCTTCAGAATAGGTTCAATTACGCACAAAATCAGGCCTGTGGAGCCTCCTTATGACAGTTTGGCTAACTCAGTAAAATTAATGACCTCAAACTACTTCAAATTTCTTTCTATAGTTCTTAGCCACTGATACAGTCTGCAAAAACTTAGTTAACAACAAACTCCAGATAATGCCCTACTGACTCATTTCATGCAACAGCATTAGTACAGAGAATCATTTTGAGTCTGGTTCCTATCATCAACGATAATAGTATGTCAACAATAAGTTTGACCAACCACAAAATAAACTCCATCCTACCTTCGCAATATAGCTTCTTCTCTTTCCTGCTTCAACATCTTTCCCTTTGAGGTCATGATTTGGATTAATATAGTCAAGCAAATCAGATACACTGCAAAGTAGCATAAAGCATTAGGATCAGTACAAGGATGTCTGAATTTTCCCAGACAGGAAAAAAGGGGTATCACAACCCCAACCTCTAGCAGACACAAGAATCAAAAATTGTATACAAATGTTGATAATCCAGTGAGGTGCTTAGCAAAAGAATTTTTTCATTTGGGCCATGGACTGAGAGTTCTTAGAAAACCAGCCTAAGTACTACTACTATAATAATCTTTGTAATCACTACAGCAGCTTTTCAGATATTATAAAATGATGCAGCTAGAACAATTCTATTCAAGCAGTCTTCCACACACAACATATGGAACAACAAATCAAAATTTTTTAAATCTTTACTCAAATTAACGTAAAAAAGTAATAATCCACAACAGAAATGAATGGAGTATCAAAGAAAGAATATGAAGACAGGTTGGGTCCACCAGCCATGACTGGGGCGGATTTTATTTTGTTTCTTTTGCGTGGGTGTGAGTGTGGGTGTGGGGACGACAAGAATCCGGGTAGGGTGGACCCACGTGAAGGACGAATAGAGGCACTTTGCCATCCACTGGTAATTTGTAAGAACAGAAATTGAGGTGAACTTTTTGTACTCCAGTCTTCAATAAAAACTCATATGAAAACTGATTTCTTATTTTATTAATGTGCTCAAGACGCTTTTTTTTTTAAGCAGAGATAAATATCCTTCCATTAGCAATTTAAAGCTGGGTCCACAATAGCCAAGTGAAATCTCAAGATTCCATAAGAAAATCCAATAAACAGCATGAATATTTTTACATCTGAACTAGGAGATTGAAGCAACGGGCATAACATCAGGACCAGTTATGTGAATTGTACACAAAGTACTACACGATGCCAACTTTAACAATTTTATTCAAGCACTCTTACACACAACAGATTTGGAACAATAAACCAAAATTTTTTTAATTTTAACTCAAATTAATATAAAAAAGTAATAATCCACGACAGAAATGAATGGAGTATCAAATAAAGAATTTGAAGACAAGTTGGGTCCACCAGCCATGACGGGGGCAGATTTTGTTTTGCTTCTTTTCAGTGGGTGGGTGGCTGTGATCAATTATGTGAAATAATACACAAACTAGCAGAAGGAAACTACACGACATTCGAAAACAATCAACTATTTTCGAGTGCACTTCTTCAAGGAATATGCTAAGATGATTTACCTTAGATGGCCCTTGCTAGCTATGGATGCATCTGGCTTCTTAGTACCATTTCGAGCAGCTTCTTGCTGTTCAAACGCCTTGGACTCAAAGTACTCAAGCCATGCAGCAGCATCCTGCAAGAATTCATCAAAAAGTTGCAACAACTCATTCATGATGATAAAATAAAATAAAGCCCTCAAAAATAATCATATCTATCACGTGCTGTCTGAAATTTTTGATTCAAGTCATGCATTTGATGTCCCTATGTCAAAATCATTGAGCTACTATTGCTGCCAATTTCCGCTTTATTATGATTTGCTCTGTCAACTAAGAGTTTGAACCAGTAGCTGCATTATCTCCAGGTTGAAAGTTACCTACATCTTTTAGGTATGAATCATAGCCAGAAAGCATTTGTTGCAGTTCTCAGATATATCATCAACTTGAATATGAGAATACTGGGTACAGAGAGTACATGTTCAATCTATGGACTGCATAAGATACCTGGGTACGCAAATCATCTGGGCCCAGCTTTGCGCGGAGAATTTGCAAGGTTGTTTGTTCATGTTGGACACTTAAAGGGTATGCTTCCATCAATGAGAGTGCAATTGCTATAGCATGATAACTCGCTGCTGTCTGGAGACATTAACAGAAGAAAGGATTATTCCTTGAAAGGTGTTTTTTTTATGATGTAAAAATGAAGGAAAAGAGGAAGCCAAAAGTACATTTTGATAGATAATGATGCTTGCCAGCACCCGATTTGGAAGCATGTATAAATTCAAAA